TATATATATATATATATATATATATATATATATATATATATGATTTTGATTTATTATTTTTATATTGATGAACTGGACCATATCTAAAACATTTATCTAAATTAAAATTTTTCTTTATTCTAAAATATACAAAAATAGTAATAATATACCATGTGTAGGTGTGTCTACATTTTTGAATAGTACTGTATATTATATATATATATATATATATATATAGTATGCATAATGTACAATTGACACTTGTTTATAATTTACATTTTGTATGAATAAAATAATTAAAACATTTTATATAGCATTTTCATTTCATATTTTTATAATGTATATTTTTGATGCTTTTAGAAGCTTTTTGCCACTTTAGACATTCCACATTTTTTAATTTTCTATTTTTTTCCCCCTATTTTTTTTAAATCTTAGAATGTTTTTTTTCTGCCTCAACGCAAAACGAGCTGATGCTAAACAAATATTTGTATAAAATATGCAGATTTGGGATTTTATCTTCCATGTTTGACATCAAAGCGCCCCTGGAGTCTCTTTGAAGTCCGTGTCTTTTCTGCGTCTCTGGAGTCTGGGATCGAGAGCCGAGCGCCCCTCCGTCCAGACGCATATAAATTCTCTCTCTGTAATTATGTAAATGTAGTGTTTGTATTTATAGACAGAAGCCACAGGCTGCTGGCCTCAACCTGACGCAGCTGGAAAGCATCTTGGTCTAAACTATAATACCCGTCTCCACGAGCTTGAGTGGGGGTTCAAGAATAGCACTCGTGCGACATCCCTCGCTTGCCATAAACGTCTCCGTTTTCTGGGGACCTCGATTTCCAGTGGCTTCAAAGGAGCCCGTAATAAGAGACTAGCAGCCGACATCCAATAGGTCAGACTGAACATGACAGGCAAAGACAACAGAGACCTGATGAATATATATTCAAATTTAGTTTAATATTTACAATAAATACAGTACTTACAATATAAAATGTATGTACACAATCGTATAAAACCCCAGGACTAGAGCACAACCCCTAGAGCATAGGGTGCAACGAGGCACTGACCACTCAGTGTGCATCAAGATACAAGA